TTCTCACATCGCTCATAACATTGCATTGTCTGGAATTCCTAGAGATGCATTTGTATTTGTACGGTACATTTTTTCGGATAATCCGAAAATTTCCGAATCCGAACACACCACACCCCCAATTAGTTCGGATTACTGGGATTCTACTGTACTTAGAAAATGTCCTCAACGATTCGATTCATTTTCAGCCCAACCGTCTGGACACTACGTAAAAAGAGAAGTCGACAAGAAACTGCTATGCAGTAACGAAATGTTTCTCAGGAAAATGACAAGAAATATTTGTTCATCTAATAAAGGGGAAAGCTATAATATTTTGTTTGTCGTTGTTTTTTGCTGTGAACTGACTTCTGAATATAAAAATATTTTTATTCAGTATTATCTTCCGAATAATTTCATAATGATATAATCCAAGTTTTTAAAACGAGACAACACAGAATAATTGAAACAATTTTTTTTAATATTTGTTTTCAATACGTTTCTCTGAGAAATTCCACGTTAATGGTTTAGTTATAAATGAACCGATCTTTATTGTGAAAGAAGTTTCCCAATCCTTCCCTTAAAAAAAGGCTTGCCAAAAGTGATCGCGGTATATCTTTTTTCAACTGAACGAAAAAGTGGAAAGTCGGGAAGGAGATTTTGCCACTCGTCTTTTCCCTCCGCTGTTAATCAAGTAGCGCCTCCCTCGGATAGCGAATTGTTTTCTTTATTCCACTAGTTTACCGCAGTGGCAACGGCGGGTACTTTCATGATATTTTTTTTAATTTACGCTAAGCATGATTATAAAAGAAGATGTTTTAAAAAAAATAGAGTTGCTTCGCTCGTCTATTCTCTGCAACGAAGAGTTATATCAAAAAGGTGTTTTTATTGTATCTTTCACTATTACTATTAATTATTATTATTATTATTATTATTATTATTATTATAGTTAGTTTCCTAAATTACGTAAGGGTAAGCTGGAAAAGCAATACAGTAATTTACAGCGTTTCGCCACTATAGATTCATTGGAATCTCCAAAACTTTATTTTTAGAATTCTTCTAAAATATTCCATAAGGTTCCGGCTAAAAAGAGTGACACTCGATTCGCCTTTCGAAATGCAAATGAACCAAATGACACATCATTTGCCTCCATTTTGTGGGGCGGACGAATCTAACCGCGAGTGACGGACGGAAGAACATTGTATTCATTAAACAGAAGAAGAGGTAGGAGCACAACACTAAGGCTAAAAAAAGAGATTTACGAAACGGTATTACGACATCTTGCAATATTTTCATTTCAATGAGATGAGGAAAACCTGGATACCCCTTATTTACGATACTTTTTAAGAATGTAAATGAAACATTCATAATTTTTAAAAGATAACCATGAATTAGTCACAAAATAGTAATCGAAATTTCGTTTAACCCAAAAGGGGCTTTAGATTAGTTACGAATCTGTTACCCTCAGTTCTTATTAATTTTGTTTCTCATTTATTTCGAAAGAAATAAGAAAGAGCTGTCAATAAATTTAGGTTGAATGAATGAACACAATGAATCAAAATCATTTATTCAGTGGTATACTCGTACTTCTCGGGCAGGGTACTCACAATTTTCGTAAGCAATGTACCCTGTGTACTCGCGTCGTAGATCGTTTTCGAGGAAGTATACGATCTTGCAATTTAAAATACAAGAGGAGAGCATGAACTGGAGCAGTCTGTCAGTCTATCTATCTATAAATACCACTAGCGCCTAAACTATTCGTCGTATTTTTATTGAAAATGATATTCCTCCTTACATCTGTCACAAAAGGAAGACCTGCGATTTGGATAATAATTCGATAAATTCTTATGGTACTTTACAAAATTACACAAACGTATTTTTTTCATATACATCTCACATAGTCCATATTTGAATTAACACATTGTGAGTGCAATTGCTTTAAATATTTTTTATGACGTTTCGCGAAAACTCGAAAGTTTTGGGTGAAAATGAGCTTCGACTTGCGCATTTTCTGATAAGTTCAAATAATGATTTCTTAAAAGCGGCTCCAAGTTTTGCAATGAAAATTTACGTATGACCAGGTCTTCCCCTTCAATAATATTCTTTAAGTCATATTTCAATTCTATTATTACGGACCCGGGGAGAAGTTGGGCAAAACCGAAAAGATAGTACAGACTGAAGAGATAAGGAAACCAAAAGGTACGAGAAAGTCTGTGGCATTCTCCAACACCACTAATTACGTTCTCGTATACATACGTATCTTCGAATTAATATACGTATAATAGAGAACGTTATGTAATGCTGCGGAAAATCTTTTTCGAAATTTCGAGGGAAATGTTTCGGAGACCCCTGAAACCGAAGAAATGATTTCTTTTTCTTTCTTTTTTTTGACGACCGTCCATCTGTGAACAACACTAGCGCCGAAAGTATGCGTAGGACTTTTTCCAAAATGAATATTCCCGGGACGATCTGGCCCGATTAAAAAGCCTACCTTTTTTAAAAGAATTCATTAAATTGTAAGGTACTTAAACTCGAACACTTTCAAAAGCTTCTAAAAAATGTCTCCAACTTTTTGTTAAATTACTTGAAAGAAAAGAATAAAATACATTTAGAGAGATGGAATATTTTCAATGTAAACTCCTATTTTTCGAAATTTGCATAAAGTTAATTTTTTCGGCATGTTTCTACCATCTATATTTATAAGTTAGAGATTTTTTCTACAAATGAAGGTTGTTCACCACAATTAGATCTTTAATTAATGTCATGATCATTATTTTGCAAGTGTTACTAGTGTACACGTAGGTTTTAGGGAAATATGGGATATTTAACACCAGAATTTCTCAAAAATAGCTCCAAGCTTCTCCTTTAAAATGTTTAACCGAATAGTGTTAAATTCACTGAGTAACCCACCATTAATGTAATTTTGCCGCATTGTATGTTTTTCAAAAATTACGCTAATGTACTTATTGTATATCTTTCTCACATCGTTAATGTTTTACATCGACTTGAACAAATTAATGCATTTGTGAGTACAAGACGTTCAAATTATTAATAAAGTTGCTCGAAAACTCAAAAGTTTCTGTGAAAATGAGCTCAAAAGCGTGCATTGTTGGAAACGTTCGGATGACATTTTCTGAAGAACAGCTCCATTTTTTCTTTGAACTTTTTGTGCATTTGGTGCTAAGTGCACTGAATAACATCGCAAAAGTAATTTTTATTTATTCTTTCCATTTTTATTTTTGTGATAGACGTTTTTTGTACGTCACTGCAATTGTGCATTACTGCACTCAACAGTTTTGTATGAAAATGAGCTCGAAACTGCAACTTCTGAAATGCTCAAACCTTATTTTTTAAAGATTTTTCATTTAAAATATGCATATCTGGCCAGATTTTAGTCTTCTATTTAGTTTTCTTACTGTCATATTTCAATTCAACCGTTGGAGGACCGAACAATTGAAGAAATGTCCACACAAATCACCTTTAGCGACAGATTGAGTAGGACAGCTAGTTCAGACTAAAGAGATTCAAAAAGAACTAGTGGAAGAAAGTCCGTACCATACTGTAACATTACTAGTTGCTTTCTCTCTTACTACTGACGTAGCATAGAGAAGTGTCGCAATGGTACACCAAAATGGCGATTTTGCGACAGAAAACTCGACATGTGTGACCAAGAGAGCGAAAAAATGGATAATTCTTTGTTCCTATATGTAATAGATAACTTCCCATATGAGTTGTAAAATCAGAAACCACGTTTTGTTTGCCTCTGATTCCGAAAAATCGGTTTAGGGCAGAACATCTATCCATCACCAGTGAACAACGCCAGTGGCTAAACCATGGGCAGAATTTTCATCAAAATGTATACTTCCCGATCAATTTAGTCGCAGTACCTTGAAATTCAATTGGATAATTTTATTTTTGGGTGAACTTTACATGAAGTCTGAACATTTTCAAATGTTTCTCAAAAATGACCCCACAGTTTGGGTCTAATTTTTTTCTCGAATATTGTAAAGTACTCTTGTAAAAAAATGGTGCTTGTTCGATTTTCGTTCAACTCTGTATTTTCGAAAATTGCAAAAATTAAAATTTTTCGGCTTCGATTTCAAGAGAGAGTTTTTCCTTGAAATTTGAAGTTCCAAATTGGATCTTTAAATGAGGACTTGTACGTTTTCAAAATGTGATTAGATTTTTCGTGAAATAAAGGGAATATTAGAAACTAAATTTTTCTCAAAATAGTATACAAATAATTTCTTCAATTTTGTTTCTTCCGTTAAAGCAAAGGGCACTTAAATGGCATAGGACTCATTTTTTTGAACTACCTGTATATCGAAAATAGACAAAGTTAAAGGTTCTTATGCAGGAAGAAAAATTAATTCGACTTTCAAATTTTCCCGAAAATGCTGAAAGTGCAAATTAATTTCAAGTTACGACACATATTTGTAAAGAAAAAACAAACAAAAGTATTGAAGCATGCATAAAGGTTTATCCAGAAACAACCATATTATACCATTTGGAAGAAATACTTCTATAGTTTGTCATCAACTTACCTAAACTGTATACTACGAAAATTTAAATGATACACGACAGATTTTTTTCCTCAAAGTTTTGTTCTTAAGATGGAGGATTTTTAATTCGATGAGATTCAGTAACCGTGTGAATATAATAGTAAAAAAAAACAGGACACGTGAAAGGAAGAATAGGAGATGTTTATTTAGCAGTGCCAGGGGGACATCATTATCAGGCCCCCCCTTTTGTCCTCTTTCTTTACCATCGGATTCTCGTTTTGTTTGCGCACCCGAGCTACAGTGCACACTAGGCCGCGCAATTTCTACAGAATGGCGCAAAGAGAGGCAGGAGGCGCGGTCGGCTTCCGAGGAAGCCCCTAGTGAAGCCGCGTCTACGCCCAGTTAGTCCGATTGCTGTTCAAAACACATGCCCGGGAGCGCTTGTTTTCATTTCGCGAGGGCTGTGAGCACCCAGCCTGCTCCTTCCGCCCCCGACGCCTCAGGCGAATCGCACGCGACGCTCACCTTCTGGTAGAGGAAGGGGTGCGTGAGCGCCAGCCAGCGCTCCAGCGCCATCACGGCCGCCACGCAGCCCGAGCCCAGGCCGAAGAGGCGCCACACCACCCGCGCCACGCACGCCGCATGCTCGTCGTACAGGGGGCGCGGCACCAGCACGCGGATGTACATCTGCACCAGCATGCCCAGCAGCGCGACCAGGTCGTTGCACGCCAGGCAGCACAGCATGAGCGCGTGCTTGCTGCTGCTGCGCGGCCGCTTGGCGCGCTGCCGCCTCCGCAGGATGTAGAGCGCGGCGGCGTTGCCCGCGATGCCGACCAGGTAGCTCAGCGTCACCAGCACGTTGCGGGCGATGTGCAGGTGCGGGTCGCGGTACGGCGCCGCCGCCGCCCCCGCCGGGCCGCCGCCGCCGCCGCCGCCGCCGCCGCCGCTGCAGTTCCCGAGCAGCGCGCACTGCAGCAGCGGCTCCGTCGCGTTCGCCGGAAGAGGGCCCTCCTCCATATCGCGCGGTGATGGCGCTCTTCTTTTTTTGTTTTTTTATTGAGAGTGATAACACGCTCTGTTCGGCCGCTCCTACGCACGAATTATTCCAAGTCGTAGTAGGACGGACGGTTCACCGAACTGACATTCTCTGACAAAGAAAGCGTGCGTTCGAGCGAGACAAATGCGAGTACCGGTTAACTCCAACTATACAATACTACCACCAACACAGACGACTGGTGAACTCACATGGTTTGCATACAAGTGTTGCAATAACTTGTTAGGGAATCGAAAGAGAAAATAATGTCGCGTGCGCCAGCGATGTAAACAAATATGGAGGGTATAATGTACTCCATTAAACCCCCAGATTTCGTTAGTTCTAAACCACTAAATGTCACGACGAACTTATATGTTAGAAAAATGCGTCTTATTTTCTTTACTTCAGTCACCACTCTCGCCAGGCTGCCATATTTTCCAAACAAACGTATCACTGCGCAGTACAGCAGCCTCCGCAACCCACTGGCTTATTTCCTTTACAACGTTCGTAATATTTTACTCTGAATCAACAATTCGTAAAAAATTATTCAACAAATGACTTCAGTCACAAAATTGTGCACAAATACGAAAATGTCAAGTGAGTTAAAGGGGGTAAACAGTACAAAAAAAAACAATCATATGACTAGTTCACAGTTTTACTTTTCACACGTCCACGACGATTTAATGTATTCCAACTTGACTTGTAAACAAGCCCAACGGCAGTAAGCAACACACTTCATCGAGAAACAACTTCGAAAATCCCGCAGTCTTCGCAATATTTTCTTCAAAAATTGGTCCGGTTCACAGAAATATCGCTCCAGTTCCCGCAGGCGCCAAAAGCCAGCTGGGCTGCATTGGATATCGTTGCACGGCCGCTCGCTCACAGAGCCAAACACACCCGCGCACTCTAGCACACTCCCGAGCGGAGAAACACGACGGCGGGCGCGGCAACCAGTCCGCTCGGCGCTAGCTGCGACACCCCGCCTGTCTGCCAGCCTGCCGCTTCCATACTCTGCTCACAGCGGCTGCTGCTGACCGTTTACATCGAGGGGGCCTTCGCCTAGTAGAGGCGGAGAGGGGGCAACCGCGGCACCCCCTCCCCGCTCCCCTCGCGCCGATGCCACTTAGGCCCTCGTGCGGCGGGTCCCTCCGTCGCGGGCCGAGAGAAATCCGGCTACGAGGCCCCCGCGCCTTGGGCCCGGCCCGTGCGCGACACGTGTGCAGCCGCAGCGGAAGGCGGCGACGGGCCCTCCAAATGCGCGCTCGTCGGTTTCGTTTCGTCGTCTTTTGGAAGGACCGGACTAACCAAAATTTTCCGAGCTGCGTTAGGGTCGCGGAGTCATCGGAGTAGAGAGAACCGGCAACGTAGCAAGAAGGGGAGAACACACTCCTGTTGAAGCTATTATTGGATTAAAATAAGTACTAGGTAATTGTCACTTCCGAAACGCTGAGGTGTTTAAAATTAACTGCCGAGACGCCCGTACTTGTTTTGAGTCCTCCACATAAATGTTTACTAAGCCACCAATTTACATCTCCTTTAATCGAATTGTTTCCAGTTGATGTAGTGCAACGCCATTTAATGAATTATGATTGTGGCTCTCTCTATCATCTTCCTACGAAGAGAGTAGCTGACGTCTAAGTTTGTTAGCAGTGATATATGGAAAATAAGTATCTAATGAAGTTACCTTTCACGAATCGCCTTCCCCCTGAACACAAATTATTACATTAGCTGAAGGGTATGTAGAAACTGGTTATTATTCATTTCAAGATTTCTTCACTCTGCCTTGTAGGAAATATACATTTTGACGCTTTAAAAACTTACAGGACCGCAAGCAAGACCAACCTACCAGGCCTCGTAAGAATATATTAATGTAATCGAAATGAACAGACGAAAACAATGCAAATTGAACATTTAATGTTAAAATATTTTTACGTGTTTGGAAACAATTCTAAAACGTATGTAGTAATGGAGAAGGGGTATGTTATCTACCAGGATCCTAGGCTCGTGCCTGTCTGACTTCGCGTTAATCTGCTTTTGTTTATAACGCATCAGTGGTGTCATTAGCTGGAGACGAGGCGCCTGGCCATTATGGTGCCTGCTAAATGATCCTTCACAAAAACCGTTATTGTTCTTCATTCGATTCTCTAAGGAATCATGATGTTATCAAACGATGTTTAATATATTGCAAAATACCAGATAGTCGGGGCACAATAACTGAACGGCTTTCTTCTCAATGTCCCAGCCAAACATTTTCGATGAACAGTTCAAAACTGCATTTCTGATAATCAGTTTTTCTTTTAAGATTCGTTTAGTGTTAAATAAACTGCAGACATTATGTGTAAAACTTCGGTCGGTTTTTTCTTCTTCTTCTTCAAAATATGTACCTAAAAAATTGCACTTGTCGAAAAATGTCCTCGTGAATTGGATATTCAAGTTAATTTCCATGTTTCCTCTCTTCACTTAAGTGATTATCGGTTAAATTCAAGAAAAATTAAATTCCACAAAGAAAAATAAATTGAATATCCGAACTTTAAATGGATCAAAAAATGACGGAAGGAAATCGTACTTGATGCCATCCATACCACATCTTGTCAAGTCACTATGCTAATCAGAGGTATTCGTGTACTGAGGAAAGCTGGTAAGGCTTTCAAAGTTCCATCCTCAATTCGTCGTTCTCTTGGGATTTAAAACTTGATCTTTTCCTCGTAATAAAAAAAGACAAGAAATGAAGCAGCATTTTCCATAAAACAGTTGAGAGATTAAAAACTGTAACAGAAGCGACGAGGACAAAGTCTACCAAATACAAAGGCAAACATTATCATTATCAGATCTTTGTGTGTCTTCTCTTGCTTGGTCAACAATTGAATACCGAGAATGTGTGTGTATGTCCAAAGAAGGCACTGAAGAAGAAAATACAAATATGCCCCGATAGAGATACCAACAAAACAATCTGTACATGAAAGGAAGAACGACCAATAATGACAAATATAGACGATAAAATACCTAAATAATAACTGGCAGCCGTCATTGCACTTATGTACTTATAACATGTAAATAATCAAACAGACTCGTTGAATAATGAAAAAATTCGATTTTCTAAAATCATGTGGATCGAAACAATTCTGTAACAAGTAATGTAACTCCTGAATATAGCATTAGAAGTCAATGGAAATTAAGAAAACTCTCTTCTGATATAACATTATTGATTGCAGTTAATAATAATTGTCAATAATAATATGTGTCTATTATTTATTCAATAAACGAGTACGAAGAACACAACCAGCGCATTGGCAAATAAATTCCAGACAACAAAGTTTGGGACTTTAGAAACGCAAGATTTGAGATAGCGGACTTCAGTACATTGTGATCTTGTTTATGAGGTTGTTAACTCATCAAAAGTCCTCCAGTTTATGCATGTATCTTCTCAACGGAGAATGTTAAAACTTTTTGACGTGGCTAGACGTTATCTTTTTATTAATATTTTCCTCTTCATGCTGTCCATAAATGTGATCCATCTTATCTGCACTAGAGCACTACTGAGACCCAAAAGTAGATTGGAATGCTACTGTAATCTCCGCAACCACTCACGGTATGATATGCAATGGCTCCCGAAGGTTATCTTATCGTACAGTGCTCATTACTCGATTTTCTCTTTAGAGAAAGCACGTTAGTTTTTTCATTCTTATCGAAGTCAAAATAGTAAAGAAAGAAAAATATACACGTATTAGTACATTTCCAAAAAAATATTATTTAGTTACATGTGGTATTTCATTAAAAACTTTTTACTTTATTATTACACATTTATTTACAATCTGTTCACGCATGAGAATAATAAGTAAATTTGACTAGATAATTAGTACTTATTAAAGAAGATACTCATTAGTGTCTCTCCATTAATACAGCATACGTAATTACACTTCAAAATCTGTGAGGCAAATCTAAAGGTTTAAATTTGTTAAGACGTCTTATTTCCAAACTATTATCTATCAACTTTATGGTTTAAGTATTTGTTTGGCATTGTAATTTTTAATATATTTACATTTTTCGTTATTTCTTCATTAACTGTTGGCATTTTAAAATCAGAATGAATTACGTCATTTCGAACATTCCAGGGGGCTCTGACAATGTTTCTTAATACTTTGGTTTGGAATCTTTGAATAATTTGAATATTGGATTTGCTTCTGCTGCCCCAGAGCTGTATGCAGTAAGTCCAAACAGGCGTTACAAAATATTTATAAATGAGTAATTTATTGTTTAGAGCTAACACTCAGTTTTTACCTAACCATTACCGTTTGTTTGTTTGTTCAATTGCCTTAGGGGACAAATACTTATCTTCATGGTGAAAGTAATGGGACTTGATTTGCTTTCATTTGCTCCTATTCACCCAGAAGTTAGCAATGCTTATAGTTCGTTGAGATGTTCCTGAAGCAATATAGATACCTCTACTGGATCACTGTCTAAAGCAAAACTTGATGTATCGTCAGCAAATGTAGTTGTTACTGTTTTTTCGGTTGTAGGCAGGTCAGAAGTGTATAATACACAGAGCACTGGACCCAGCACACTTTCATGGGCGATGACGGTCAGGATTGGGTAAATCGAAGAAAGTTCGTTATTGTGCTTAATTTGTAAGAATCTATTAATTAGGTAGGAATTTAATAGAACATATAAGGGTAATCAAGGTGTTTCTTCAGCTTATACTACAATAACTCTACATGCCATACATTGTCGAATGCCTGTGTTATGTCTAGAAACGCAGCCGAGCAATATTTAATTTCTTCCAGACTTTTACTAATGATGTTCACCACCCTAGGCACTTATTCTGCTGTAGAATGCTTTCTTCGGAATCCATACTGATGTTCTGGTATCCAGTCTTCTAGTTTTGCCTGCAATTTTATCAGAAGCAGTTCTTTTTTACTTTAGAAATGAGAGGCAGCAAACTAGTCTATAGGATGTGGGTTCTAGGGGAGGTTTACCTGGTTTGAGGATAAGAATGGTCAGATCTATTTTCAGGATTGAGGGAAATTCCCTAGGCGCAATTATGCATTGAACATTGAAGTGACGAGGGATATTCATTTACCTAGTAATTAAATCATACCCAGGTGCTTTATTACGATGAAAAGTTCTGAAGATATTATTTTTAGCCTTCGAAGTAAATGGACGTTGGACGTTATAAATATTTTATAATATCTTCTTCGTTGATAAGTTTTTGCGCGCTGTGATCACTTATTGGAAAAGGTTGAAACATGTTAGTTAAATGCTGAGCAAAGCATTCTGCTTTTGCAATATTCTTTTTGCCCAGATCTGATGGATGTAGAATGCTGTTTTGGTGTTTTTAATATTTTTGTAACCTTCCATAGCGAGTGTTCATCGGTTGCTTGTGGCGAGATATTAATTAAATGCCTTCGTAAGAAGTACTAATACTTTTGTTGAATCATATTCCTTTAATAATCTTTTATTTTCTGTGTTACATTATTCAGCTCATTTTTGTTTTCAGATGTTCTATTATTTTGCCACATTCTTCGAAATCTTATTTTCAGAGCTATTTTTTTTTCTTTTATGTACTGTAGTTAGGTATTTGTTGTATGTGTAAACACAATCATGTTCTTTCACTTTTAAATATTCTCCCTACGTTTCTGCTGGTAATATTTCAGTTATTCTAGCCAAAGAAGATCGAATGTCAATTTTAGTACAAAATTTATTAGAACAGCTTTTATGGCAGAACACGTTCCATTAAATTATGGTATTTACACATTAAGTGTGAAATCGAAATAATAATGGCGTGAAACCCTGCCTTCTTTATTGAATAGATTGAATGGTTTGAAATCATTGCTTCCATTTATGCGTTGCGTACCGTTCCATTATTACTTGCATTCTGCAAACTTATTGAGAAGAAAAACTAAACAACAAATATTATTCACTTTTTTTATAAAATCGAAATGTAATGTCGGTGACTATTATTT